CTGGAGACTCCGCCGCCTCGGAGCGAGCCGCTGCGCTGAGCTGGGCCGCGCCTGGTGTGTCCGTGGCAGGGTGGACTGCCCCGCCGTGCCCGTACCGCGGGGTCCGGAGGTGGGGCCGCGGTGCCGACAGGTTTCCCTGACACTGTGTTTCCGTTCGTCTTTAGCTTAGGCCTGGAGCTGGGGCTGTCCTAGGCAGGTGGGCAAGGACAGGTGGGCAGAGAACCTTGTGTGAAGAGCTCTGCCTGGCCCCTCAGCGCCAGGCCTGAGCCAAGGCCACCTGCTGCCCTCGTCGTGGCTGCAGTAGCTGCAAGTCCCTGTTGACATGGGGTCTACCACAGCTAATAGTAACTGTAAGGACTGACCTCTGATTGTCAGTAATGTCTGTGCAGCGAGAGCCCATAATCTTAGCTCAGAGTGGAAAGGTTTTTATGTTCCCTTGTATCTGTTTTGACATCATTCATGTCAGAGTTTTTCTAAACTTTATCCTCCCAGAACACACAGCAGGAAAATGGTGCTTTATGGACAGTACAGAACACATTTTGTTCTTTCTTCACCTGCTGCTTGTTTCTTCTGTATAGGTGAGCAGTGGGTATTGACATGGATAGTGTTTCCTCAGGCTCTTCTCTGCAGTGCCTTGCCAAACTGCTTCGTGATGGTCAAGATGATGATGATGATGATGTACATGTGGTGAGTCTTTCATAAGCAATGCTGCTTCTTTTACATGTCGTGCCATAGCTTGACCAGAGAAGCAAATTCCTCTTTTCCCAGAGTGAGTAAAAAGAATGAAAACCTTAAAAGGTTTTGAACTGACTGAAACAACTAGAAGGTATTTTTAGGGTAACAAGGTTTTGAGGGAGAATATAAGGAAGATGCCCCAGGAAACAAGGAGAGATTGTGACCACAAAATGGGAGGGAGATTTAATTTTTTCACCCTGAAGGAATTGAGATAATGTAGTTGAAAGAACTTTAGATACTTCAGACTTCCCCCTACTTTTCCCTGAGTGTCTGCCATAGATTAAGGCAATTACAAATAAATACTTTATATGAAGGGAAAAAAGTTGCTGCTCAACTTCTGATTAAGGACTAAAATATCCAGAAGTGACTGAGTGTACTAATTCTGTGTGTCAAGTATTGAAGAGCTGTAGAGGTTATTGATCACTGAAGAACAATAGATATGTTGGTGACTGTAGAATAGGGAAGGGTGAATAGTCATTCTAAGGCAAATGATCTGAATTATTAATGAGAGAAATATCTTTCCATTTTTCACATCAATTCTTCTACATTAAAAAAAAAATCAAAAAATCAGTTCTCTATTAAAATATTGGTAAGTAATCCAGGAGATTCCTGGAATGATAGAGGAGCCAACAAGGAGAGGTGTACACTGGACCTTGTTCTCACCAAGAAGGAGGGGCTGGTGGTGAGTGTGAAGTTCAAGGGCAGCCTTGGCTGCAGTGACCATGAAATGGTGGAGTTCAAGATCCTTAGGGCAGTGAGGAGGCTGCACAGCAGCATCGCTACCCTGGACTTCAGGAGAGCAGACTGGCCCCTTCAGGGATCTGCTTGGCAGAGTAGCATGGGATAAAGCCCTGGAAAGAAGAGGGTCCTGAGAAACCTGGTTAATATTCAAGGACAACCTCCTCCAAGCACAGGAGCGATGCGTCCCAACAAAGAGAAAGTCAGGTAAGAATGGAAAGAGACCTGCATGGATGAACAAGGAGCTCCTGGACAAAGTCAAACACACACAAAAAAAGCCTACAGAGGGTGGAAGCAAGGACAGGCAGCCTGGGAGGAATACAGAGAAACTGTTCAAGCAGCCAGGGATCAGGCTAGGAGGCAAAGCTCTGATAGAATTAGAACTGTCCAGGGATGTCAAGAGCAACAAAAAAAAGCTTTTACACGTACATCGGTGATAAAAGGAAGACTAGAGAAAATGTGGGCCCTCTCTGGAAAGAAACAGGAGACCTGGTCATCCATGGCATGGAGAAGGCTGAGCAATCAATGACATTTTGCTTCAGTCTTCAGCAGCAAGTGCTACAGCCTCATCATCCAAGTCACATAAGGCAAAGGCAGGGACTGGGAGAATGAAGAACCACCCACTGCAAGAGAAGATCAGGTTCAAGACCATCTCAGGAACCTGAAGGTGCACAAAGCCTTGTGACGTGATGAGATGCGCCCACAGGTCCTGAGGGAACTGGCAGATGAAATGGCTCAGCCACTATCCATGATATTAGAGAAGCCATGACAGTTCAGTGGTTGGAAAAGGGGAAACATAACCCCCATTCTTAAAAAGGAAATAAAGGAAGACTCAGGGAACTACAGGCCAGTCAGTCTCACCTCTGTGCCTGGCAAGACCCTGTAGCAGATCCTCCTGGAAAATATGCTGGGGCACATGGAAAATAAGGTGACTGGTGACAGCCAACACGGCTTCACTAAGGGAAAATCATGCCTGATTAATTTGGTGGACTTCTACAACGGGCTTACAGCATAAGGGAAGATCAGCTGATGTCATTTACCTGGACTTGTGCGAAGCATCTGACATGGTCCCACACGACATCCTTGTCTCTAAACTGGAGAGATGTGATTTGATGGATGGATCACTCAGTGGATAAGGAACTGTCTGGATGGTCTCACTCAAAGACCTGGGTCAACAGCTCCATGTCCAAGTAGAGAGCAGTGACAAGCAGCATCCTCAGGGGTGGGTGTTGGGACCAGTGCTGTTTAACTCTTTGTTGGTGACATGGACAGTGGGATCGAGGCACCCTCAGCCAGTGCACCAACGACACAGAGCTGTGTGGTGCAGTGACACACTGGAGGGAAGGGATGTGCCATCCAGAGGAACCTGGACAGGCCGGAGAGGTGGGATGTGCAAACCTCACAGAGTTCAAGAAGGCCAAGGGCAAGGTCCTGCACATGGGTCAGGCCAATCCCAAGCACAGATACAGGCTGGGCAAGGAGTGGATTGAGAGCAGCCCCACGGAGAGGGACTTGGGGATATTAGTGGATGGAAAACTGACTGTGAACCAGCAATGTGCACTCACAGCCCAGAAAGCCAACCATGTCCTGGGCTCCATCAGGAGAAGTGTGGCCAGCAGGTACAGGGAGGGGATTCTCCCCTTTGTTCCGCTCTCTTGAAACCCTCCTTGCAGTGCTGGGTCCAGCTCTAGGGGCACCAGCAGCAGAAGGACATGGACCTGCTTGAAGTGGGGCCAGAGGAGGCCACAAAGATGCTCGGGGGGCTGGAGCACCCCCCTGTGAGGACAGGCTGAGAGAGTTGGGGGGTTCAGCTGGAGAAGAGAAGGCTCCAGGGAGAGCTTACAGTGGTCTCACAGGACTGAAATGGGCTACAGGAAAGGGAGGGGGAGTGGGTGATCAGGGTGGTAGGGATAGGATGACGGGTAATAGTTTTAAATTGAAGGAGGGGAGATTTAGATTAGATATAAGGAAGACATTCTTTACTGTGAGGGTGGTGAGGTGCTGGCACAGGTTGCCCAGAGAAGCTGTGGCTGCCCCCTCCCTGGAAGCATTCAAGGCCAAGTTGGCTATGGCAGGATGTTGGACCTAGATGACCTTTATGGATCCTTCCAACCCAAACCATTCTTTGGTTCTATGATCAATTCATCTCAAAAATAGATGAAAATCACAGCTTTTGGAAAACATACATTTTTCCTGCAATATGCAACTGCTCCTTTTGTTTAGGCATACATGTGTTCTGGGGAGAAATATCCCAGGAGGGTGGCAACAGTCACAATGTAGAAGGCCTCTGTGAAGGCTCAAAACTTTGCCATGTCTCTTAGGGTTTTGAACAAGTCATGCTATGATATGGATAACAAAAATGGAAAATGCCTCAGTTTTCATCCAAATCATTCAACAGAGCCAACTGGCTGACCCAGCACTAGTTGGGCACTAATAATAGCAATGGTAGTGATATTTGGGATACATAACTTGAAATATCCTTTCAGTATGTGGTAGAAGTTGTCCTTCACACTCTAACTATTCTTTAGCTATTTAATACCCGCCTTTTAAAACTAGCATTATTGCTGTACAACTTTGCAGTAAACACCCTGATTTTAAAAGAATTTGTTTACATCTTATTAATAAAATGAATGACACTTCAGAGACAGAAATGGAAAATTGCCATAAGGGATGTCAATTAAGTCTGAGTCAATCTGGGTAAATTTAAATCTTTATTTTGATTAATTTAATGTTCTGTGCATGGGAGGCACTTTTATTAAACCAAGGAATCTTCATATATAGAGAAATGCCTCACATTGGCCTATTATCAGTAGATGGAATAATAATTAGAGGAAAATGTTGTTGCCTCATATGACCTCTACTGTCAAAAGGAATCCAAATGCTATGGTGGGGTTTTCATATAGCACCCTTGATTTCCTGCAATATTTTCATGGCAGGCAAAGCATGGAAATTTTGCCAAAATGCCTTGGAAACTAATACTCACAAAGCACATCTGTCTGTGCTTCTGGGAGTCCTGCTTAAACCCAGTGCGCCAAGGTCACTTCCTGCTGGGTGAGAGTGAAGCAGAGAGAATGTTCAGTCGTTCGGTCATGAAATTGTGGGGTAATATATTTTGGATTTTAGCAGGGATTTGTTTGACCTCAGGTAACATTTTGTATTTATTGACATTATCATAGTTACTGAGCTGAGCTCTGTGAAAACTGATTGAAGTTCCATTTGCCTTTTTTTTGCAGCCATGCTGTTCCATTAGTGCCATGACTCCTGGTAGTATTGGACCAGTAAAGAAAGAGACCACTGGTAAGGAGAAGTATTTGTATGTTTTAGCATTCAGTCCTGTGTTAGCAGACTGTAACATCTGTATTAAGTTACCACTGAAGGGGTTTGCTTTAATAAGGGAGTGATCACTGACCTCTTGAGATGGAAATAGCATTACATTTTTACAATTACATTGTAAAGTTCTTCTTTTCCTGAGAGCTTGGCTCCAAAATATACAAAGAGGAGCAGAAAGGGGAACTGCAGAGCACAGCAGCCTCCAGTGGTGACGATAAACAGTACAGAGCACAACCTGGCCATGGGCTGAGAGGACTCATAGCGGAGCAGCAAAAAGCTCCATGGAAATACTCTCATGGAACTGTTAATGCTCACTTAGCGTAAACAGGGAAGCTGAGCTTCTAAGTACTCACCTGAAAGGATCTTCATGGAGTAAACTGTGTGGAACTGAGCCTATGCCAATTGGGAAGAAGAGCTACAAAGCAAAGCGGTGAAAGGCAGTCATACCCTATTCCCCTCAAAAGTTTCACAACCCTGCTTAAACCAAGCAGAGGGAGGAAGAGAAGCTTTATTCAGTGCTGCCCTAAACAGACCGAGACAGGTTTCAGTTACTCACCTTCCTGCGCCCCATTCTTTGCCTGGGACGCCAGGGCAATCATCTGCTTTACCTGACTCCAGGTGTTCTGGCATCATATAGAAAGCAGACTCTCAGACAGTGAGAACACGTGTCTCCAGGGTTCTTAAATTTGTGTCAGCACCTTGGATTGTATTCAGGACAGAAAGGAAGGTGAGCTTAGTCCTGGCAAAGTTAGCATAAAACTCCCCCTGGAGCTAATGCTGACACATCATCGGGCAGCTTGGTTATGAGCTGTAGGAAAGGTCAGCAAGGACCAGCATGAGTGTAGCAAGAAAGAGACTGTGCCAAACAGAACACATATTTTTGCTTGGAATTCTAACAATGACTAGAGATTCTACTATAAAAACTGTCAAGTTGTTAGAAAATACATTTTTCCATGTAGGACAGGCGTAAACCATGGTGTTCTGCCCATGAACTTCCGTGTGTCTTCAGTCCCTTATCTGGGCTGTGCTCAGTAATTAATGGGAAGAACTGGATTTCTATGTGAGGAGGAGGTCCTTTCGTAAATGAGCAGAGTGCTCCCTTAAAAATCTCCTGTCAGGGGGCTTGGGGAAGATTAATATTTCATCCTTTGACACTTTACCCATTTTGAAGTGCTAGATATTTTATGCCTGACAGGAGGATTTCGTTGACATAGAGCCTGGGTCGAGGGGATTTAAGGAAAAAGAAAGCATCCTCCCTCTGCAAATTCTCACTCATAAGATACTGAGATGAAGGAGACTGTAATCATCAACTGGAATACTTTTAATACAAATATTTTTCTAAAGCCTAGAAAAATGTAAGTTTTCAGCAAACCTAGAGGAACAGAGACATTCCAAAGTATGACAGCGTGATTGTTCTCATCACTTACAGGTAATTTCCAAGTGAAATCTGAAAACAGGAAAACTATTTGGAACACAGAGGAGGTCCCAGAAGGATCTGAATTTGATGATACCTGGGACCCTAGAGAACAGCCAGAGTAAGCGAGCTGAAACTGCCCACGTGGGCTTTACAGAGCATTGATGGGCAGAGAAGTTATGGCATTGGGATGAAACAGCCACCTGAAAAGCTTGTGTCATGGAAGGAGAAAGGGAGGGGATTGGTGTTGTGTCTAAAGCAACACGTGAGGAGTGGTTTTAACCTCTCTCTTGGAAACCTTCTGATCTCATGACAGAAACGTTGGGTTGGTTTTTCCCATAATAAGATTTCTTGCATTGTCAGATACTGCTTGCAGTGTCAGATGATCGTATAAAGTGGGATTTGGAGGGGAAGTAGGCCAGCCAAATGATTTACTAACTTTCAGAAATGCCATTTGTGTGCAAATGTCTTTTCCAACTGCAGTTTAGACACATTCATTTTTCATACTCATAAATTCATAGAGTACTCCAACTTATATTTGCATTTCAAGGAATTAAGCTATTTAAACACAACAGTACTACAGGAAGGAAGGAAGGCTGTATGCAGGCAGTTTCAAACTTCTAAATCTTGTAATTCAATCTTAGCCTGTCTCATTACAGCCTAAAACCAGGGTCTTTTCCCTTGCTCATAAAAAACAGTAACAAAACCATTCTTGAAATAGACACCATCAGGCATGTTAGCTGTGGTTTTTAAAGGTCAGAAAGCCTTCAGGGCCAAACCATAAAGCAGCCTTTGCATTTATACTCATTGTGTTCTGATGCCATATCCTGGAGTGCTACATGCTGGAGCAGACAGACTGAAGCCTAGGAAGCTGCACATTGTATGCTAGTTTTGTAGTCCAGAATCCTCATTTTTCTTTGCACATGAGTCATGCCATTACGTGTTCAATTTCTGGATCTAAACACGGGACTGAGACCCACCTGAATGTAGACACAGCATTTCTGAATATGATTTGTCACTCCCCTATAGCCTCACATACGGGTAGTTTTACACTCGTTCTTGAAACCATCACCTGTGAGATACAGAACATACTTTCTTTGTATTGTGGGCACAACAGAAGCTTTCCTTGTGCTATCTTGTGACCCTTCCCCTCCATGCTGGGTAAAATGCAGTGCTTCTCTAGCCTCAAGCAATTACAACCTGTGTTGCACAGATGAAAAGAAAGTATAAATCTTTGTAACAGTTCAGCAAATTGAATCAAGGAAAATGGCCCAAAAGGAAAACAGATGGCTAGAGAGGTGCATCCAGAGCTATTCGGCAGATTTCTCATTGACTTAGGAATTATTACATACACACACATGAACACTGGAGATGTCAGAAAGACTTTCCATATGCGTTTTCAACATGTTAGAAAAGTGACTCACTCCACTTATTTTGCTCAGTGTAGTAGGAGTAATGTATGTTCTAAATACAAATTTAGTTTGTATTTCCTCATTCATGAAGTATCAAGACCAAGAGAGTACATAATTCTACATTTTATAGATGTGGAGGGGAAGAAAATCTGTTGGCCAAATGCAAAACAATTACAGTCTGACAAAAGAGCGTTATGCTCAGGGTGCAAGTATATGTTGAATGGCAGAACAGAACATAGGTAATTGTGACCACGTCCTTTTCAAATCCATTTCCCAAGAGCCTGTGATGTTTGACTAGTTGACAAGTATCATATTCACTTAGGATGCATTTCCTGATCCTGCAAAGGCTGGTTAGTGAAGCAGAGGCAGCAAAGTGAGTGCCCTGGAAGGTGGAGTGAATGACCTTCACCTGTCCCCCAGCCAACTCAGTCATGGCTCTGAACAGAAACCCAGTGCAGAGGGGTTGAAGCCTTGAAGGGAGGCTGAAAAGGAGGAGGGACAACATGAGGAGGATATTTATGGTCCTCTGAGAAATACCATCTCCTTTAGACTCCTGCCCCTTCTCCAGTATTATTAGGCAATGACTTCTCTTTCTCAGGTATCAGATTTTATTCAAACAGTGTGTGGGAACAGAGGACGTCTTCTTTGGGATGAGCAGGAAAGACCCCTCCACAGCCTGCTGTGAAGATATAGTGGTGAGCTGAACCTGTATTTCCCACCTGTGCTTTCTCTGCCCTTTTTAATCTTGCTACCTTCTTGAGGGACAGAATGTAAACACCAAGCTGTATTGCTGCCTTTGGCCTCCTGTAAGATTTTATTGTAGTTCTTCATGCATTTGTAGATGGTATTTACACTTGCTAACCTGAGGAGCTCACATATATCTCCTCAAGGACCCAGAGTACTCAAGACAATCTGTGCAAATGCATATGCTATGTACAGACTTAGGGGAAATAAAAAGCATTTCTAAGATGGAGTTTCATCTTGGGCACAATTTTGGAGGGGAGAGGGACTGGGAGGGAGATGGTTTTCATATGCGTGCATTTATTGCAAGGTGTGCGAGTTAGCAGAACGCTTACAATACTGACAGTCTTTAAAGTTACAGGTATCAGATCCTGTCCCATTACTGTATGATCAAAGACCTCCCTGCTTTCTGAACTTCAGGACAGGTAGAACTGCTGTGCAATTTTTCTAGTAGAATCAAGCTGTCCTCGGAATACACAAAGCCAGGGGATTTTGCTGGATGTAGAATACCCGTCAAGTACATTATGAGCTCAGGCTTTTGAAGAAAATGGAATATCAACACACATCACTAAGTTACTTAAAAGCAATGATTATCACTGTCATATTTTCTGTGATACAAATTACCTACTCAGAATATTGCTCTTTGACACTGGCATCAAAATATTCATGAAGATGAGATCTCTAATGGCTTGTGGGGCTACATATCTAATCACAGCTTTACCTCTGCCCATCATTTCAGATTAAAATCAAGTTGCCAGGGGCAAAGTACTCAGACATCACATTAGATATCCAGGACAAGGTTCTTGACCTTCGGACTCCCAAAAAGTAAGTGAAGCATAATCGATGGAACTACAGTTAATACCGTGTTTGAAAAGAGATTTAACCAAGCCTTTAAATGAATGCCCTGTGGAAAGAAAAGATAAAGATGAATATCGGATTATTAACTGCACATGAGAAATAGATATAGACAAAACCAACCATAGTCCATCCGTAGATATAGAGTATGCCAGCTTTGATTCTGTGATACTGTTCTAGCAAAAATAGCTTGAAGACAGATTTTGGCTACTTAAACAGCAAGGCTTCAAGGGCCCAAACTGCCTGGCAAAAAAACTGCCCACAGTCTTGAAGGACTTCTTGGGAATTTGCTTTCTTAATACTAATTTGTACAACTGTATAGCTGAAGATGGTCAAAAATGTGCAGATACATTTTCAGAAGTTGAAAGCCAAATTGTGGACATATCCAGGCATTGATGCAGAGATGGAAATGTTAGAAAGTTTCCCTAAAAATATTTCTTTTGAGTTCTTTTTTTTTTTTTTTTATAGGGCTATTTCAAACCTACAAAGGTAATCAACTGACTGATGTACTCTCAGACTTCTCAGTCTTCCTCCATATTTCTCTCAGTGGGCAACTGCCTTGCCTGAGTTTTCCAGATAATTCCCATGTCTGTTTTGCTTTAAGTCCTTATTCACAATAGAATATTTTCATAAGAAAGCTTAATCCTCTCTGGGCTGACTTGCTTCATTGAATGAGGTGTGGGAAGATCCATATGTGAATAGCTTCCTGCCAATAAATTCGAGGTGCAGGCCATGGATTAAGGCCAGATAAATTCTGTCCTTAGTGGACTAACTATAAAAAAGCCACCTTTCCCACAGACAAAACCTGGCTGAATCAGTTACTCCCTGCTTGGATTTAACCCAAAGATGCAACAGGAGTGGAAGAGTGTATGGAAGTGCTAGCTCTGAAACTGGAAAATCAGGAGGAATAATTGTTCAGCTAATGACTTGCAAAACCCAGAGGTAGTAGAAGAGGTAGCTTAATGAAATACTGCAGATGTAGGAAAACCTCAGCATCCTCTTTCTTTTGCAGTTCTATCTTTTTGGTGACTCAGAACTGCCATTATTTTTGTAGGATCCAGCTGTCTCTAGTCACAAGCCTAGCAAATAAAAAGTTTGCTGTAAATCTAATGGTTGCTTGGGTACATACAGCCTGAGCCAGTACTTCTTTCACAAATATAATGCTAGTCTTCTCAGTATGAAAGAAACAAACAAGATTTCAAGTTCTACATACTGAAAACCACTCTATTCTCACAAGTGTGTAGGTGGGCTCAAAGGAAATGTTTCCAACTCTGTAGTCCTGGGGCGGATTCTAAGCCAAGCTGATTTTAAGGGCTTCTTCAAATTATATCAGATGACTGCCTTTGGTAGGTGTGGTGCAAAGGTGTTTTGGCTGTACCTCTTTCAGCCATGGCTCCTACAAGACAGGTCTGAAAAAGAATCAGCATGACTTAAACCCCAATTTAAAGTAACTCCCATCTATACTACCATGTTGTCTTGTTGGGCTTTATAGAGCTTGGCTGGACAGATATCTTGGTTCTAAAGTGTCCTTGATTCTGTTTGCACTGTGAATAGAGTAGAGGTCTGAGACTATCCCATCATTTATGTTGTTAATATATAAGCCTGGGATAAGAGGGGAAAGAGTCCAGACTCTGCCTGAGCAAGTAAGTTTAAACTGTCACCAGTGAGATGGTCCAGACCGAGATATCCTCATGAGGAGATAAACTGGAAGGCTTGTTAGCCATTCCAGGAAAAACGGTATGTCTAACATAGCCAGGGACTTTGAAATCATTCCTGAGTCCAAGATCCAGCCTTTCTTTGTGTATTATGTGCCTGAGCCACAGGTAGGAGATCACTGAATTAATCTTCAATGTAGGTTAAAATCCCAGCAACTTCATAACTGTAAATCCATTCTCATACCCAAACTGTGCTTTGCAGTGTAGACATATTATTTTTGAAACTGTACTGGTCAGAATCTCTAATCAGGCTGTACCACTTGTTTCTTTTAATAGAGAAGACCAATTCCTCAAGGCATGTTCAGGCTTTGGGCATTATTTAGACTTTTACTACCAGGAGAGCATTATCCATGCAGCTCCTCCTTCCTCTGCATTTAAAATGAAGCGCTGTGCAAAAGCAAGAGCAGTGGAGAGAGCCCACAATCCACCACTGGAAACCGTTGTCATGGCCACAGCCAAAGGAAGGGAATGGTGTTGGAAATATTTCAGGGCCTGTGTATCTGTGCACCTGGTATCACAGGAAGGCCACCAACCTGCTGTGAGAACGAGACCCTGAAAGACAGGGGTCTTTCAGGGCATACTGATTGGCAAATTACAAGAGTCCCTTGCAATGCCATCTCAGTTGTTCACCCGGTCTGAGATGCTGAAATTCACTGTGTCCTCTCTTACAGGAAGCTGCTGCTGCACCTCCCTTACCGTGTAGACAGCAAGAATGGTAAAGCTCGTTTTCTCTCTGAAGAGGAGACCTTGGAAGTCACCTTGAGAGTATCAAGGATGTTTGATTTCATAAATTTTGTCTGATAGATAGAGAAATAGAGGAAGTTTGCAAAAAGTAATCTCTTAGTTTGAAGTCTTCTCAGAACCTAACTGGTCATGAAATAGTAGATTGCTTCCCTTGAACAGTCCAGGGGGAATGTCCCTGGAGAAATGGAATTACTCAGGAGGAACAAAGCACCCCATAGGTCCAGCTCTTGTGCTGCTTTGGTTAACGTTCTGCTTCCTTCAGTCTGATAGAGGCTCTGTGAATCAGAAAATAGGAGCTTACAATTCTGTAAGCCAGAAAAGGTCTTTTTGGGCTTATGTTTGATAAGTAGCACAATGAGGCTCTGGCTAGCGAGTCTGGTGCTTAGTTACTGTTGCAAGACTTGCAAGTGGTAATATTCTTGCTTGGCCTTCAGTGCTGGGACTGGGGCGAGTTCACAATCTTCTCTTAGCTACTGCTTGATGAGAAGATCAAAGCTCTTCAGGGATCCACATCTGTGGCAGAATAAGGGAACCAACTATAGCTGGATTGCGGAACAACTCAGCTCTTTTGAACAGTTTCTGACAATGTGTGGTGTCATCTATTCACCTGCTGTATCTCCAGCTGTTTTTCTGATCTTTCTTGATTATTAAAAGAATGTGTTCTAATGAACAGTTCCAGTTACCTTTCACTCTTTCTTCTCTATATTTTGTACTGAGAGACTTTCTAAAGATCAGCTAAGCGGAACTTTGCATAACAAAGCATCACTTAAACGGCTGAAATGCAGCAAAAGGTTTCCTTTGGCCTTCATGTCCAATCTAGAGCTACAGAGATGGGTAGCCAAGATGTTCCTCTTACTAGCTGCTGGGCAAATTTATTCATTTAACATTATTAATCATGCAGGAAACAAAGTTATCTGCTCAATGATCAAAGTGGGGAGCACAAGCAGGGCCTTGCATGTTCATGGACATTAGGTACACTTAGCCAAAAGCTTGTAAGCACTTTAAAAACAAAATGGCTTGGGTCCTGCATTCTTCTGGTGTAGAAGTAGAGGAAAATAATTGACCCACTAGGTTGCAGACAGTACCCGTGCAACTGAATTTGTGTTAGGCTGTAATGAGAAGACGAATTCTCCATGCTGGATTGAAGATACTGACAGTGAGTTTCCAGGTATATTTTTTGTTTTGTGAGGAATTTTCAGAATTCACAGTATGTTTATAATATGCTACATTATAACACTAGGACAAATTAAGCTGGTGTGTTGACATTTTAACCACTTCCCTTAAAAGTGGACCCATTACTTGGGTCAGAATAATACTATCCAACCTCTGCACTGGAAAGCAGAAACCTCACGTATGATTCATCACAAGCTGTTGAATATGTTGATAACATTAAGGGGCTACTCCATTTTGTATTTGCTTGAGTTTCCATAAATTGAATTTGAATGTCTCCTACTCTACAAAGCTGTGGTGGAGGGGAACAATGCAGATGGATGAAAAGGCTGAGATCATTCCTCCTGACTCAGTCTGTACTGCCTGTGTTTGCCAAGAAGTTACAGTAAGGCTGTTTCTTGGAAAAAGGTTGTATTTGTGGTCCCTAGACAATGTGCTGCTTCATTTTTGCATTTCTTATACAGATTACAAGAAAAGTGGAAGTTTGACCTGTATTTATACAAATGTGAAGATAACATTTGCCCAAATTAATTTAGTAAATCTATGGTAAAGCTTCTTCTGAGCCCTATTCCAGTGCTCTATCAACAAGGTAATGTTACCTTTATAGTTGGCAGTGATGATTTACTGAGCCTTAAATCATCAAGTTCTGCTTAATTTAATGTCAGTGTTTGATAATGATAACAACTATGAGTTTTGCTTATTGAGTCTCTCTCCAGTGTTTTAGTTTCCTATGGAAATGAGCATATGCCACACAGGTATCCATGTCCTGTTTTCTCCCCAAATACTTTTTAGTTCTGCATTCAAGAGACAAAAATCTGAGGTAAGTATGTTTTATAAGAAAGTTGGCTGCCGAATAGAAAAAGGAAATACAAATTAGTGCTGCCTAACAGGGAAGTTGTAGTGTGATTTCTTGCACCTGCTGGCCAGTCACTCTGTACACCCACACCCCAGGCTGCAGTAGGTCACCCACACCTCTCCATGAGGGGAAGCTGGCAAACTGGGGACATAGCAGGATAGGGAAAGGGAGATATGCTGGCACGGGGAAGCTGAAATCACAGTGTTAAGGTCTATGAACACAGGGGACAAACTCATAGGAAGCCAGGCTTCATGTTTTCCACTGCTCAAAGCTCTACTGCTGTTTTCAGTAGAGTGGAAACATTGGTCCGGTGACAGGCAATTGGCTGTTCTGATCAGGTCTGTTGACTTGAATTCACCATCACTACCTGGAGATCCTCTCACATTCTTAACTTCTAGCAGAGACAGAGACTGCCCTAAGCAAATGTTGGAGCTTTTTTCCATAGATCACCTTAAGAGGAAACTGGTCAAACAGACATGCAGGCTGCCAAGCTTCCAAGAAATCTGGGGGGTACTGCTGGTTACAAGAGAGTTAACTTTTTTGCAAGGACTTGAAGGCAGTTTTGCTTTGCTGAACTAGCACTGGCAGAAAACCTTTTGAAGGGGATACAAAACCCCCTTTGCCTCTGAATATCGAAGCTGTTGCCTAAGTACCACTCTAACACCTGCAGGCATCTTAATTAATCAAAATTATGAGCCCAGTTAAACAACCCAGCCATTAAGCCTCAGCCATTAAGCATCATCAAGCTTTATTTGGTTCCCTAAGAAACATCTTGATTAAACATATTGCAGTTAAGTAGAGGGTTCTGTAGCTGTAGAAATGAGATAGAGGCTGTTTACAGTAGTATCCCAATAAACTGCAGGTTGTCATCTTGCCTTGTTCATGCATTCTGCCCTCCAGTTGTGGTAGCAGAGCCACTGTTCCCATTTTGACTCGTTCCTGTTTTCTGTCAGAACTATGGCGTTGTGCTAAAGTATGCAGCCCAGCTTGCTCCGTGTTTCACCTCACTTGATATTCCCCTTTGTCCACATACTGACCTTCTGAGGCAAAGATACTTTCCTCGTTCTACAGCCTGAGGAAGAGAAAACCCAACAGAGTTGCTCCATATAAACACCTGAGACAGAGCAAAAACGTAAATTTAGATTTTTCCTTTAAACCTGCAGTCTAGCTTCTGGGCTGCTCTCATTCCCATTTCCTCCAGGTCTGTTGTAGGTACTATCATATACCCCTTGTATTTGTTTTAAAAGAAATACTACTTCATTTTTCTGCTGTTCAGGTTAAAGTTCATACCCAAAATGTCTATGTACTTTCATTGTGTGAAACACCGCGTTATTGGTATCTGCTTCCCTCCAGACAAAGTTTACCTAAAATAACTAAGCTGTATCTATGTGTACAGAAAGATGTCTCCCCTACAGCCTACAGAGTAAGTAAGGAGACAAGACTGGTATTGGTTTTGGCTTTCTCATCTAACCTTGGGCCCCGACACTTGGTGCATGAGGCTGTGCTCCTGCGGGCAAAACAGAGCTGTGTAGCATCCCGTGCAGGCTGTGCTGTGCACTGGCATTCAGGAACGCAAAGGAAACCCTCGTGAAGTAACCTCTGTCCTCAGGGCCTCCCAGATTTTCTCATTTGAGTAGCAGGTGACTGCTTTCAGCAGTATCTACTCTGGATGTGCAGCAGCATGGGCTACTAGATATACAGCAAAACATGGGCAAGAGCCCGCCCCAGTGCCAAGCCACACAGGCAGTGCTTGTGTATATCCAGCAGGCTCAGTGCACTCTCACATGTCCATCGCTTGTGCACCTCCTCAGGCTGGAGCAGGTGCCTTTGAAGGCGCTGGTGTTGGCAGACCTTCACCCTCTTCTCTGCAGTGCCTGCAGCCTGGATTCATCCTTATTCTCTGGGATCCTCTTCAAGAGCTGCTGCCACGGGCAGTCAGTCACTGCTGTGTGTCTATGGTCTTAGCTCCAGGGAAGGTGACTGGATTCTGCTGAGGTTTGGGTTATTTCTTTTCTATAATCTTCATGAACAATATACAGATTGTCTCTTTGCCCTCTTTGTCTTCTTCAGATAGATTTTACCTTCAGATTGAGATGCAGAACACTCAGTTCCCATTTTTCCTTTTCCCTCACGATTGTTTGTTCTGTGCTTGTTTCAGGGGACTGTGATCTTTCCTTTCCTAAGTGCTTTATCTCACTTCCCTTGGTCATTCTCACATTAGGAGATTTCTTACCAGAGCCTCCACACAAGTTGCAGTTGACATAGCCTGACCCTTGCTGGATGTGCAAAATGTTGAAGCGTGTGATTCATCCCCCCTCGCTCAGCTCAGTGCTGAGTGAAGCACTTTGCTCTCCTTGCTGAATCCGGGCTGTGTGCATGGGGAAGGGACATGAAGAGGAGCTCCCCAGGCAGGACCTGGGTTGTGTTAAGGCACTTGTACCAAAGGACAGCGGCACAAAAGCAGCAGGTGCTGCTGCAGGTCGAGGCAGAGCTGTGTGAGGTGTGTTGACAGAACTGAGGAGCGGCCTCTTGGCATGGGCACAGCCTGCTGGAGTCTATTCTTCAAAGGTAGCCAGTCTCACAGCTCCCTTTTGCAACAGGCTGATTATGAAGAAATGAGCCAATTCAGAAAAAGTCAGGATCACTCAAAATTTCAGCCTTTCCCAACGCCTGAAATGTCTCTTTCTGCTGCCTGATGTGTGTCTCTGTGTCCCAGACGAGTACTAAAGAAGTTTTTGAGATCCAGTCCAGGGCAACAGTGATACAAACAACACAGGAATGCTTTTAGTTTTGCAGTATTTCTCTCAATCCAGTGAACTCTTCGACCACTTTGGGCTTACTCATCTCAAGATCTCCTTTTCATCTTTTTTCTCTGTCTTCACACACTCGTTTCTGAAGAGAAGATCATAGGAAGTTGCCAGCATGGCAACAGATGCTGTACACTGACCATCCTTAGAGACCATCTCTCTTTAATTGTGAGCCTTCTTTGGGTATCCCAGCAGCCTGGCAGCTGACTTCTGATGCTGATCAACATTTTTTTCATCCACACCATTTTAACTTGGTGGTATCACAACCCAGCAAAAACTGCCAAGGCAGCTAGGTTGTATTTACCTAAACAATTCTATGATTCTGTTTGGCAGCCTTTCTCCTGCAGCTGCTCAGTAGAGAAGAAAAGAGCCATAGACCTCTTCTGGAAAATTCTTTTCCTGTTGTAAAGCTGTACAAAAAAGAAGAAGACAGGGATAGAGATGGACACAGCTGATTTTCTTAACTCATAAGGAGATGATGTGGGCAAGTTGGACATTTGCCAGACAGCAGCAGACTAGGAACTGTAGCAGATGTAAGCATCAGTGCTTGAACTTAAGGATGCTGTGAGCTTTGGGTGAGTTCTACCCCTCACATATGCTCAAGTAATGAGCATCTACCCTCCCCGTGGTTTTCTCTAGCTGGGGACCCAGGTGATAGGACCTCCTGACCAATCATTTTCTTTCTGGAGGACTCAGATTCCTGTAGCCATATCCCTGAACAGAGCCTTAGTTGGCACTGCGGCAAGCTGGTGAGTGTATAGAGGGGAATGAGAGGTTGACTTCACCTGAGATAGTCAGCTCTACCTTGTCTTACCTGAGCCAATCCCAGCCACCTGG